TCCTAAAGCCATGTATGGGACACAGACAAGACTGAAGCTCTGTCCTGTTGTCACTTACCACGACACCTTTCACTTGGACATTTTCTAACCTCAAACGTGAAGGGAACAGCACCGTCGCCCATGGTGTGTGTCCTCATGGCCTTTCTGACAGTTCCCTGCTTCCTCTCCTCTCCAGTTGTATGGTAGTACTTAAGTCTGAATTATAAAAGCACCACATGCTTAAAGTTTCAACCAGCAAATAAGAAGGGACAGGAAGCCTTCCCAGCTCCACCACGCCCACTCTCCAGAGGTTACTCCTGTTAATGTTTCACACATACCCTGCTTGAAACTTTTTTGGTAAACATTCAAGAACGTCCAGGTTTGTTGAATCTTCTCCACAAATAGAGTTACACATTTTGTATTAGAATATGGTTTTTCGATCCATGTTGGGTTTTTCGATCCATGTTGGGTATTTCTAGGTCAGCATAGGAAGAACTGCCTCGTTTTTAAGAAACGACTCAGAGACCATGAGAACACTTGTGACAGTGGCCGACAGTGGACAGCAGGAGCGGTGCAGTGCCAGCCCCATAGCCCAGGGTGCTGTGCTGCTTGCCGCTAGGCCACACTGTGCCCGGCTGCGATGGTGCATCTGTGCATCTTCTCCTGAGCCAGATGTCGCTGAATCCACCACTCCAGCAGCTCAGCCTGAATGTCATCCCCTCTGGTGGTGTCAGAGGGATTCCGCTCCATGGCCCTGCCGTCCCTCACAGCATTGGCTTTGTCGCCTTTGCCAGTCTGTGCGCCTGCTGTGGGATCTCAGGCAGTACCAGCGCACCCCGACTGAGCTTCTTTTCACACGGTGGCAGCAAGGCAGCTTTTACAGGAATCGCCCACTTGTTTCTCCGTGACCGCGCACCTGACTGGCTTTTCCTGTGTTCTGGTATCAGGTGCACTGGTCACTTGTGTCACAGGCTTCCCAGGACCCGCGGGTGTCTGGTCATGGGGTGCAGTGATGGCCGCTCTGCTTTCTGCTTCCTGCAGTTCACATCTCTCGCTTTGTGCAGGGACCGTGCTTTGGAGCAGTGGTGGTCGCACATCTCCCCTGACTGTGCTGAGCCGCTGCTTCTCACAACGTGAAGCCTGGTGCTGGCGTGGAGTGGAGACACAGTCTTCTTTAAAATTGCGTTAAGGACTTTCTCTCTCTCTCTCTCTCTCTCTCTCTGCTTTCTCTGCTCTCTCTACTCCCACCCCTTGAATAAAATCTCTGGTCAGAAAAAAAAATGGTGTTAAGGAAATTTTTACCAGTCATTTTTATCAGAATGATTATCAGCTGTCTACCTACCACCAAGACAAGCTCCCCCTGCCCCTTTGACCTATTACATTGGTTTGTGCTATTGAATTTTCCTCTCTCCCTCCCCTCTACATCCCTGTATCTCCAATCCTTTTTCAAAAAAATTTTTTTTTTTTTTTTTTAGATAGGATCTTGCCAAGTTGCCCAGGTTGGGCTCCAATTTTCTTTCTTGAGACACAGTCTTGCCATTAGTTCAGGCTGGCTTTGAACTCACTGTGTAGCTCATGCTGGCCTCAAACTCAAGCAGTCCTCCTGCCTCAGCCTCTGAAGTGCTGGGATTACAAGCCTGTGCCCCACAGCCAGTGGCTATTGAATCTTTAGCAGGATAAGCACAGTGTGCAGCTTCACCTGGTTGCCTGAGGAGAACAGGCTTCCTTCTAAGCGGGAAAACACATCTTTCACTAAGCAAATCACCAACAGGATGCTTGGTAATAAAAGGCCTTTAGCCGAACTGAATAGGAGAAGCAAAGGTGAAGGAAACTAAATTTTCTTTATAAGCTGCAAGGAATTTCTTGTTTTCCTCAGGCTGCTTGATGCTTGAGAGGGAAGAGCTGGGGGTGCTTTTGGACATGGGAAGGAGAGGCAGGAGCGGGGAAGCGGAACCTCAGCAAGGTCGGGCTAAGACTTGAGGCCCCAGGCAGTTTAGGGCAGGGCAGTGAGCAGCACTCTACTGCTGAGCTATTTCAATTCCCAGCGTGCTCTTCTGCACTGCTGGGCAACCCTGTGCATCCTACAAGGACTCAGTTACTCAGGATTGGTGTGGGCCCAGGCTGAGCACTTCTCTACTGGTTGCACCAGAGATTTTGGTGAGAGTGTTTCTCCTGAATCACTCAGGTCAGTGCAGAGCTGCTGTCATTTCTGCCCTCTGAATCCTATGTGGCCTGTCCCATGGCCAGTCTGTGGCTCTGCCCATGCCATCCTCTTCTGGCTACTGGCCACACAGGGAATATGACTGGCTTGCACGGCTGGGTGCTTTTGCTCCTGCCAGGTGCTCCTCCTTGCAGCCTTGCTGTGTCCCCTCAAGTCCTCGCTCTGTAGTGACGGCCAGCTCAGGTACATTTGAGAGCACGCTGTGTCTGCAGGAACTTGCGTAACTCAGATGCCCAGAGCCCCCACTGTGCCCAGTGTCACCCCAGAAGGGTAGCGAGGCCTTGGAAACGTGGAGGACCTTGGCTGCAGAACAGCGTGATCCGGAGTGAGACAGCTGTGACCTGAGGAGTAAGTCGGGCTGTGAGCCCCCAACAGGCCTCGCCACTGGTGTGTTTGGAATCTTGGCTGAGAGAGGAAGGGCACATGTGCAGGCTGGGCAGGAGGGACGGCAGATGCTCTTGTCCCAGTGGAGAAGGAAGGCTTTGTGTGTGTGTTTTTCTTTCTGAGGATTGAACCCAGGGCCTTGGCAGTGAACTATGTCTCTGGACCTTATTTTTATTTTCAGATGGGGTCTTGCTAAATCACCCAGGCCAAATTTGAACTTTGCATCCTCCTCAGCCTCCCAGAGTGCTGGTATTACAAGTGTGTGTCACCATTCCTGGCTTCCTTTTGGACTGAATTGTTTTGGTTTGGATTTTGTTTTGTTTGCCTGTTTTTAGTATTCTGTTTTTTATCTTTTGTTGCTTATTAACTGTACCATTATGGTTTTAGTGGTTGTTCTAGGGCAGTGGTGGCAAACCTATGGCATGTGTGCCACAGTGAGCTGTTTATGTCACTGAAAACTCTAAAGGTTTGCATCTAGGGTTTCCAGTATGCAACTTTTTTTGGTCAGTATAGAATTTTAAGTTAGCACGGTGTACCTTTAAATAATATTCCCAATCAGGTATAACATAAAACTCTTACCACAGTATTTACTTCCATTTCCTTCTGTTCTGCCTACCGGTTGCCCTGAAATAAACTACCCCAAAATTTAGTGGCTTAAAACAAATACTGCTTCACTGTAACCTCTCAGTTTTGTAAGGCCGGGATTTGGGCTGAGCTCAGCAGGTGATTCTTCTTCTCTGTGTGGCATCCTCAGAGGTTTCCAATGGTTTTCAGCTGGCAGATGTGCTGGCCTGGAGGGTCCAAGATGGCTCTGTGTATGTTCTTGGGACCTCAGCCGGGAGCGTCAGCCGTGTCTCCACCTGTACTGTCCAGTACAATGGTCTTAGCCTAGTCGGACAGATGTGGCAACCTGGGTCTGCAGGCTGAGGAGTAATGGGAAGTGAAGGGCTGCAAGCAGAGTAGAAGCTGCCAACCTCCACCATCGCCCCGCCGAACCTGCACTCTGCACTTCTGCTCTTAGCCCCGCAGTGGGCTCCACCGGGCAGCACAGTCCTCCATGGTGGCAGTGGCCTCCTGCCTCCTCCTCCTCCTCTGAGAGCCTGCAGTGGTCTCACACTGTGCCAGAACAGTCTGCAGCCCTGCAAGACACAGCACGGGCCTCCACGCTTCCCTGACTTTCTCCGTGTTCACCCTGCTCCACCACACTGGCTCCCGCCGCATTCCTGTACCCTGCCACATGGAAAGTTCTTCGCATCCAGTCGCACAGCTCAGTCCCATGCAGGTCCTGTGCAGCGAGGTCACCTGGTTACTCTGTGCTCAGCAGCAGCCTCGCCTCAGACCCCCACACCCCGCAGAAGTTTTATATTTGTTTGTTCATCTCTGTCCCACTAGATAACCCCAGAAGGTGTTGACTTTATTTGTAAGTTGAACTTCACTGGTGCCATATTTTCAGTAACTCATTATAAAAGCCATCAAACAGAGACTCATTGAGTATCCAGCAGAGGACCGTGGTGTGGCTAGCACGAAAAGCACAGTTGCTACTGGACATGAACCAGAAGCAAGATGGGAACACACCTGAGGGAATGCACCCCAGGCCACTTCTCCTCCCCTCAGTAATGGCCCTGTACAGGCGGGGAGTGTTGACTTCAGAACCTCAGTGCCCCAGGTACAGAAGCTGTGACCTGGACTGCTGTGACACGGGGGCGGGTGACTGAGGTGGTTTCTCCAGGCTTTGGGTTCAATCACATCCCGAGGGCCTGAGCTGCCCACACATGGTGAGGGGTTCCATGGTGTCCTGTGAAAAGCCGCTGCTCCTCAGGGCTCCCTGGACATCCTGATGGTCTTCAGATGGTAAGGCTATGTGCTCACTGCCTGAGGACCAGTGGAGAAGCCCTGCCTGTATCAGAAAGTACATATTTAAACCGGGCATGATGGCACACACCTGCAGTCCCAGCCCTCTGGAGGCTGAGGGAGGAGGAATGCAAGTCTGAGGCCAGCCTAGGCAACTTAGAACTAAGTTGAAATGTCTTGAAATTTCAAAAATTTGAAGAAATTTCTTGAAATTTCAAAAAAATTTAAAAGGCCAGGGATGTAGCTTAGTGTGAATACCCTGGGTTCAGTCCCTAGTATTGGAAGAAAATACCTTGATCTTGGGCCCTCGTCTGAAAAATGAAGTTGCCCTGGATGATCTCTGAGGGGCCTTTCTGTCCAGATTTTCTGAGGAACTGTCCTGTATTCTTGGGTATTTCAGAGCCGCCATGCCGATGGGCAGCAGCTCCTGGAGCTGCCCGCTGGATGGCAGACATATGACTGGCTTCCCATCCCGCAGGCCGGGCCCGGCCAACTCCTCTATGCAGCAGTGTTGCCTTGTACCTGCTGGGCTGTCAGCTTTCTAATGGCTCTGTTTGATTCCTAGATTCCTCATCTAACTGCAGCAAGTGATCTGACATGGGCCACTGGCATTGAGTTGTTGCTGGAAAGAGCTCCCAGTGTGAGGATTGCTGCCTCCGGGGACCTGCCCAGCCCGCCACACCCTGTTCCGACCCCTGGGTTCAGCTGTGTTTTCCCAGGTGCTGTTTTTGTTTCATGTTTCACAAGCAGCAAGGGAAAGGATAGCTACTGACAAGTAGAAAACTGCCACTTTTTAAAAGGCAGTTTCTTGTGTTTTCGAGTGGAATTAGTCCTTGGCATCCTTCCCAGTCCCAGCCCCGCTTCTGGCTGCTCACATCCCCAGGTAAATACAAATAGAGATTGCTTTATGTTTTCTCCTGGGTCTCTGTTTTGAAGGCAGAATTATGTTACAAATGTTTTTGCTGTAAATAAACATTCTCTTGTCCTGCAAGACCCAGTAGGATGAACTGTGAGAAGTGGAGGCCATGGCAGAATGCAACAGGGAAGGGTATCAGTTTGTTTCCTAGACCTGAGCCCCCCACCCCTTCACCTAATAATATGGTGCCAGTGCTTGTGGGCTGGGCTTCCCTGAAACCTGCTCCCTCCTGTGGGGAGCTGTTAAAAGGCAAGTTAGTTGGAACCTCTAAGCCAGTTAATACCCCACTCCTGGACACGAGGGGCTCTCTGTCCACCTTGGGCTTGGGGGCTGGCCCCCCTTCAGAACCTGGTTCTTACTCTGCACATCACTCCGGGTCCTGTATTCCCAGGTGGGGCTTGGCCTGAGGGGCCCCATCCCCTCGCTCTGTCGCCCCAGCAATGCATCTCCAGGTCCCTCCTGCAGGGCCCCACTTGCTGCCCTCAGCCCTCAGCTAGCAGCAGCAGCACCGAGACCACCCGCTGCTCCCCTGCCCTCCCTGACCCTGCTCATCCCTCTCCTGTCTACACTGCTGCTCTGAGAATCAGGAAGTGTTCGGTCTCCACTTGATGCCTGCCGGCCACCTCCACCGACCAACTGGCTCGGGCATCAGGCAGACCCAGCTGTCATTTCGTTGGCCTGACTGGGTCTGACCTCACACCTTTGAAATGGTCTCCATCCCAAAGGCATCACCTTCCCTGAGCTTCCAGGTTTCTACAGCCCTGTTTTAGGCCACATGTTAGCTTCACTCTTCTAATTGCTGCCACTCCTGTCCCCACCGCAAAAACCACCCCAGGGCGTGTCTCCCTCTCACGGCCTGCGAGGAGGACCCATTGGCCCAAGGTCTGCTGGAGGTTGGTGCACGCTGACCCAGAGCTGTCCTCACTCTGCTATCGTGAGCTTAGACAGGCTGCCTCTGCCTTGAGAAGGGGCTGGCACCAGCTAGCAACTCCTGTCCCCTCTCTTCAGCTGCCTGCTGGAGCAGCAGCCCCAGGGCAGTGAATTTCTCAAGAGTCTCTGAGGCCAGGTGTGGTGGTACATGCCTATAATCCCAGCACTAACACAGGAAAAAGGGCCGTGAATGTAGCTCAGTGTGAAGGCCCTGGGTTCAATTCCCAGTATCAAAAAGAAAAGTGAAGCAAAGCAAAGCTGGGGATGTAGCTTAGTGGTCCATGCACGGGCCCTGGCTCCCATAGGGATGGATGGAGGAGGGCGTGCACAACCTACAGGCCTCTCCTGAGTCCTGCGGCCATCCCTGCTATGTGGTGCTGGCTGGACCTGTGGGGCACATGCTACAAGGAAGACCAGTGGCTTCCCCTTTTCACACACGTCTACCTGAATGGCACCAGGGTCTCCACCCCTGCCGGGGAACCCATGCTCACCGAAGGGGAAGGAGACATTGGTTGCACTGCTGCTCTTTCCACCCCAGCACGCAGGACAGCAAGGGCTCGGCTGTCTTCCTTTGAGGATCTGTGCACTCTCCCCTGGGGACACAGACAGAAGGGCCTGGCTGACTTTTCCTGAGCCAATCAGGCAATAGGTGGCGACTTAACCCACTTCATGCTCTCTAGACAAGCCTAGTGGCCCTGAGACACTAACGCCCACCTTAGCCACAGTAGGGACAGCTGCTGAGACCAGGCAGCCACTCCACCAGCCACCCTCGAAGGGCTTCAGACCCTGCTGGGAGAAAGCAGAGAGCCCAGGTGCAGGAAAGGCGTGGCAGGGAGGGGACCTAAGGGACTTGCCTTGCACCTTGCAGGCCAAGAAGTGGGAGGGAAACCGCGTTGGCGAGTTGGGGCGGCCACCGAGGGCTGTGGAATTTGGACTCTTCTCCAGGTGAAGACCAGCCAGAGGCTCCCAGAGCTGGGCTGGCTGTGAGAAGGAGGGGGCTCTTGGCTTGCACCTGCTCTCTGGCCCGGTAGAAGTGTGCCTGACTGCTGAAACAGTGACCTCGACAGTGACAGGGCAGTCAGTTCATACAAGCAACAGCGGAAACAGAAATGCCTCTGTGTGTCCCTGTGACTCTACGTGCGTGCTGCACACATATGCACAGTTTTGGCCCAGGAGGCAAACATGCCAGAAAGACACAAAAATGTCAGCATATCTATAACCACATACGATGATATATTGTAATAAGCCAAGAAATGTTTCTTTTTTCTTATACACATGATTTTTTTTTCTTTTCGGTGCTGGGGATTGAACTTGGATCCTTGTGCTTGCAAGGCAGGCGGCAGAACCACTGAGCTAAATCCCAGGCCCCACATGATGTTCTTAATTCATAATCATTAGGACTAAGAATGAACCCGGGTTAGATGTGGTAGCACATGCCTGTAAAGCCAGCATTCTGGGAGGCTGAGGCAGGAGGATCCCAAGTTGGAGCCCAGCCAGAGCAATTTAGTGACTTAGACCACATCTCAAAATTAGGGGTGGGGGATGGGATGTGGCTCAGTGCAAAGGCCGTGGGTTCAGTCCCCAGTGTGGGGTGGGGGAGAAAGGAAAAGAAATGCAGCTGGCAGTGGGTGATGGACTCCAACCCTTTTCTGTCTCCCTATTCCCAGCTCCTCCTGCTGGGCTCACCTTGGACATGGGCTTGCACTTGGCCAAGGGAAGAAGGAGAAGGTCCAAGGACTCCACCGTGCAAACAGCAGGACCTAGGGGGGCTCTGGGGATGACAAGCAGGCTAGAAGGGGCGCAGCCATGGGGCTCGCATGCTCACTGAGTGCGGGCACACAGCGCACTCGGTGTGTGCTGGATCAGGTTCCATGGTCCTGACATGGCTTTGCTCCACTCCCACGCCACACTGAGGGGATCTGGGGGTGGGTCCAGCCGCAGTCAGTGTCCCTGTGGTTGCTTGGTTTTCTGAGAAGAACCTCGGAGTCACTCCTGGTTCTGCTGCCTGACCCTCGCCCAGCCCCACCACTGGCCGGGAGGAGCTTCCCCCCCTCCCCCTGGCCGGACTTTGCCAGAACTGGGAGCGCCTGGGGGACAAGGATCATATTTTATTTTATTTGACTGAGTCTCCGTGCAGTGGCATAGTCTGATAGATATATTTCCACTAGGATGCTAAATTGTCCAGGCTGGGTTTGTACTTTTGATTCTCCTGCCTCAGCCTCCTGGAGTGCTGAGATTACAGTGTGTACCACCACTTGGCTGAGACGTTTCATTTGATAATACAAAACAGCTAGTCAGGACTGGAGTGTACATTGGTCCACTATGCAGGGAAAAATCTTGGCCAAGGACCCTTGATGACAAAAGAGATTGAAGGTGACTGAGACCTCAGGGGGAGCTGAAAGACCAGGGCAGGCTGGAGACAATGTCCCGCCGAGGTCCAGGGTCTGGTGTGTTGTGCCTGGCCACACCCCACCGTGAGAGTCCGGCCAGTCTGCAGGGTGCAGTCCTGGGGACAGTTCCCAGCCAGGAAGTGCCCAGAGAGCACGTGGCAGCAAGTCCAGCCCTGTGACCTTTGGCGCCTGTGACAAGGGGCCACCTCCCTCAGCACAGGCCTCAAATGTCAAACCCGCTGACATCTTCAGGTGCATCCTGCCCTCTGTGGGACTCACACAGTGGGAGCCCTCGGGCCACGGCAAGCAGAGTTGGCTGGGACACAGAGCTTGAAACTTAGCTGTGAGGGGGTGTGGCAAAGTCAGAGTTCTCTGTAAGAGCCAAACCCTCGGCCATGCCCGCCGCCTTTCTAGGGTCCCAACCAATTGGTGTCCCCAGCCCAGAGACAGCAAGGTGTCGGGCACCCCCCTCCCTGCATACCACGTCCCCGGGCTCACCTTCCTTGGGCTCAGGGTGCCTGGAGGGGGAGGCCTCACCCGAGACCCGACCCCTGAGCCAGGCGTCAATAGCCCAGTGTTCTCCAGCCCACAAAGGCCTCACTCAGGCCCTGCGGAGGAGATTCGAGATCACCAATGTGCGTTTCCAACCTCAGAATTACTCAGCAGCCCTCCTGTGCCTCACCAGGCGCCCTTTGATTCCACTTGGAGGCCACTAGGAACTTCGCCCCCATTCCCAAGTCCCCGCCCCTTCTGAACCCCCCATTCCTCTCCAGGTCTGGTACTGGGCCGGCTCCTCCACAGGGAAAATCAGAGCCCTTGCGCTCACTAAAAAGCCCTCTTCCTCTGGCCGCGTACTTCTATGTCCTCCCCCACCGGCACCTCCTCCTCTGGGACCCTAGGCTCCTCCCTTCCTCTGCAGGACCAATGCTGAGGCAATGTTCCACTTCCGGGAGAGAGAGAGACTTCTACAGGATACCTTCATATATTCCTCCTTTTAAAAGATGAGAGTCCATATATCGTGAATTTCAGTTTTTAAAAATACACAATTTGGGCTGGGGATTTAGCTCAGTGGTTCCGGCACCTGCCTTTCAAGAGGTAGGACCCGAGTTCGATCCCCAGTACCAATAATAATAATAAAATACACGATTCAAGCTATCTGTGGTGGCTCAGGCCTGTCATCCCAGCACTCTGGGAGGCTGAGGCAGGAGGACTGAAAGTTCTAGTCCCATCCTGGGCAGCTTAACAGTTTAGCAAGACCCTGTTTCAAAATTAAAAATAAAAAAGGTGCTGGGATATAGCCCAGGGCAAAGATCCTGGGTTCAAGTCCCAGTACCAAATACACACATTTCAGTGGTGTTGGGAGTCATTCTACATAATTTTTTGGGAAAATCATTTCATATTTAAAGTGTGACTATAACTATCTAGTGTCTAAAGTCACCTTGCCCTAGAGCCAACCATGGCGTGCAGAAACAACCCCGGCAAGTTGAAGCCTCAGTGGTCCCATGATACTGTTGTCCATCAGCTGAAGACATCCTGGTTCTTTGAGAACTGAGTAGTAATAAAAAAAGAAAGGTTTCACCTGGAGGAAGGACACTGTCTTTGTTAGCCTGCTGTCTCCTCCTGCCTACTGCTGTAAGAATGCTCTCCTTACCACCCTCATCAACATAGGATTGCCGCTGACACACAAGTCGCCTGATGCTCCCTCCTGTCATTGTATGACCCCAATAAATAGTGGCAGGCTCAGCGTG